CTGATCCTGGTAGAGTAGACTACAATGCCGGCTGTTCTGACTCACAGACTGTAAGTACGTTTTTTATATTTAAAGAATTTGCCACTGATGATTCAAATGCGAGTTTTGAGCAGAGTAGAGTAGGGCTTGTTGTTTGTCGTTTCTCCGATCACAAATGCAGACATGGTTTTACGTTTATGCGGCAAAAGACAGTATAAGTCATTATAATCCGTAATTATGTCCCCACTGGATGCAACAAATGCCTCGTTTGCAATGTGTTTTATTGGTTTTGTCTCGTCGCGCCGGGACACATGGAAACACAGTATGGTAAGGGGCGTAACATTTCCGTCACACGCTTGAGGTATTCGGCCAATCACAATGCACTGGATAGCTGGCCAATTAGAGCAAACCTCGCTTTTCAGAACGATGAGCTTTTTAAAAATCTACGCGTTTCAGAAAGGCGGGGCATAGAGGAGAAACAATAATGTACAGTATGTGGAAAATAATGTGTTTTTTGAACCTTAAACCGCATAAACACATTTCATTACACCAAATACACAAAATAATGTTCTTTTTAGCAACATCATATGACCCCTTTAAGTTGGGGTGTAACATAGCCTACACAAAAATCACAGTTTGGTACGCTCCATGTGTATATGCATGTACAGCAGGTGACAAACAAAACATTAAATTGCTATTTTTTTGCTTTTTTATTAAACACTGCATTACTGAAAACACTATGGTTTGTCTTTAAATAAAAAGTCTGTCAACCGACTGCAACAAACTCTTCGTACTGCAGTTAATGGTGCAGTTTTAATGGAAGATGTTCGAATTGCTTCCATTTTTGGATGCAAATTATTTTAGCAAAATGTATATTTATGCATTATGTAAGTTATGCACACACAGTAACAATTTACTGTGAAATTTGTAATTACATTCAACAAAACTTTGTAAATGGTAAATAATAATGGTAAAATACTGTTAAATGTTAAAAATGAGAAACCATATAATTTATGTAAACTGACATTTTCAGAAACCGCTATGTGATTCATCATTTTATTATATTTTACAATCTTTTTATCTTACATTTATATTTTATTATACATTTATATTTTACAATCTGTCGTAAAATTATGTATTAAGTTTATGTTACCTTTCATGTTATTTAGTTGAAATTAAGTTTTATTGTGATGTGTATCTGATGTTGTTTTGTGTCTATGTGCTAACACTTTGCATTGTTTATACATGTTTATTAGGCACTGTTCATGGAAAGCCAATTTTTATGGCTTTTCTGTATTTTTTACTACCTGTTTTATTATGAATGGTTTTATTTTAAAAGTGCAAAACAGATTTTAGTAGCATGTGTAGTGTGCTAACTGCTATACCACAGCTCTGCACTCTAAAAATTGTCTTGGTTTCCCAAAAAGTGACCAGCAAAAGTTAATTTACTTTGTCTACAGTTAAAGGCAACATGAAATTATTTGAACTACACCATGCTCACACTGAAGGTAGAAACATCAGCTCATGAAAGCACAGTACGCATGGCTAACTCTAACAGCCTATTATTTTTGAAGAACAGAGGATGTAGCTCTTTCTTTCTGCTTACTTCTCCCTTTTCCCTCCCAATCTGCATTATTTAAATCTTAAGCACTGTGTGGATTTCTACAGCAACGATCCATGGGATCAGACCTCCGAGTAGCTGCTGGAGTTGTGAAAGACTATGCAAACAGGATGTCTTCAGTCCCTCACAGTGATTTATCTCAGTGGCCACTGGAGTCTAATTTACCGAACTGTCAACTGCACACCAGCTCTCAAATGATTGAAGCCATTTTTCAAGGTCTTGGATCTGCGACTTCGAATGTTGCGGCTTGTTTGGGGAACAAAGGGAAGCATGTCACCGGTCCGACACAACAGAGGCAACACCTGCAGGGCGCAAAGAGCCATACTCCAACACAAACACAGCACCCTAGGGAGGAGAGGAGGGAAATAGCTTCCAACAGACAGAAAGATAAAGGCAGAGAGAAGATCTCTCAGTAGAAAAATACTGAAAGAGAACATCCGTGCAGTCTCAAGAAAAAAAAAAAATACGGCAGCGGTTGTTTATTGATCCCTCATAAAAGATTATACAAAATTCCTCTCTCAGCTATTTTATTTTACCCTTTCATGTCTTTTTACTGGTGTTTGCTGTGGCAAGCATCACTATTAATGTTGCACATACTTATGGTGAGGGAAATGAACAAACCCCTAATCCTATGTGTTAAACTTTGGCATGGCAAGTTCCTGTTCGTGCTAGAAATATGAATAATACCTCAAACCAATGAAGCTTATTAAGTTGTGCTGATACTTTTGTAAGCAACTGGACTTTTTGCCTGATGGATGATAAAACATTGAACATATTTAAAGGCACAATATGTAAGATTTTTTTATTAAAATATCCAAAAACCACTAGAACGGTGTTATATATTTTGCTGACTTGTGTACTTACATTATCCCAAATGTTTCGAAGAATGTTTAAATCCAGAGAAATAAGCCATTTTAACTAGTGACACGGACCGTGTCCATAGTGTCATTGTGTCGCCTGCCAATGACGTCATAACCCCTCGATTTCCGGTTTTGTAGAAAACATGGAAACACCAAAGATGCTTTAATAAATTTCCCCATATAAAAATGAGGTTGTTACAAGTTTTTACCGATGATACTGTTTGTGATAATGAACATAAATATACATCTCCATCCTAACTCAAGCTACTACTGTCAGCTCAAGCTACTGTCAAATGTGCATTTATAAGAGACAAAAAATGTAATATTGTCAATATTGCACCCTGCACTGCAAACTGTGCTGAAGATACATGTCATCAAAGTCAGGCGACACAAACCTGTTTCATGATTTGAAACAATAATACTCATTAGAACATGCGGAAACTAAGAAATACTTTTTTTCTATTAAGATATTTATTTTGTTAAGGAAAATGACAGGAAAAATGTAAAGAATTCAAGTGATTGTCATGTTCTGACAATGAAGAGTAGTTTAAAACCACAGTTAACAGTCTGGTGTCTACAACTTTCACGTAGGAGCAAAAAATCTGCCTTTAAACTTGAAAGAAATAAAGAAAAGAAAATTTATTGTGATAATTATCGATATCGACTAATATGAAACATTTTATTATGATAATTTTTTTGGCCATATCGCCCAGCCCTATATATATATATAAATTCCATACCAATGCCCTAGCAACAAATCAGACTAGATATCCCATAAAACACCATGGACACCACCCAGAACACTGTCATAGCAACACTTTAGAAACACCATTGCATAATCCTAAAAACCCCTTAGAAATGCCCCTTGCAAAAACCAATAACTCCTAGATATCCCATAGCAACACCCTGGCAACCACCCAGAACACCATAGAAAACCCTTTGCAATGCCCTAGAAACCCCATAGTGATGCCCTAGCAACAAACCCGATGATCTTAGATAGCCCATGGCAACTCCTAGAACCCCATAGAAAACCCATAACAAAGTCCTAGAAATAGCAAAGTAAAGCCTTAGCAACCCACCAGAACATTCCAGAAAACCCTATAGCAACACCCTAGCAACAAACCAGACCATACTAGATATCCCATGGAAACACCCAGAGCAAATCTAGAAAACCCATAACACCTTGCAAATGCCATAGCAAAGGCCAGACCATCCTAGATATTCTTTAGAAGCACCCTAGCAACAACCTAGAACACCTTAGAAAACCCATAGCAATGCAAAGCAAAAGCTTAGCAACCACTCAGAACAACCTAGAAATCCCATAGCAACACTTGCCAACTACCTACAACATCCTAGCACTATGAGTGTGACTTTTGCGTTTTCTACAAAACTACACAATATAACAAAATAAATAAAAATAAATAAATGAAGAAATAAAATATACTTTTTTTTTCCCCAAGACCAAGACCAGACCAGCACTGCTCAAATTCATCTGAAAGGTCCACATTTACTGCCTGAAAAATGTCTTATTTTTAAATCATAAAATACAATTAGAATAATAAGACACTTTTAGAGCTGTTACCAATCAAATGAAATCTCTACTGACAAAATTCATCTTTGCACTGCAGTGGTGGCACAGAAGCTGCATCTGAATTGGTACAATTACAAATGCATAAATAATCTTGAAAATAATGTTTTAAAACTAAAAATGTGTTAATTGAATGTCTTGCTCTTGTGATATTGCTTAATTATATCATATTATAATATAAAAATCCAGATCTCATACAAGCACTTTTTTTGCAACAATATCTTGAATTTTGTGGGTGCATGTATTAAATTTTGGTGACATTTTTGACACAATCCCACAATAATTTCTGGCCTGGCATAACAGTATAAATCCGTGGTTCTCAGCCAGGGGGCCAGGGGCCCACTATGGGGCCTCAACAAACTTCCAAGGGGGCCTCAAGATGACTTTAAATTATTTAAAATAAAACAAAACAAGCATTAAACTTAACTAAAACAGGTAAAAATCCAAGATATTTCTTAGTTTTTGGTTATTTTTTTATAATGGATATACATCTTTTAGTCATGCTAAGCTCTAAAATATTTTGGGTGAGTGGAGGGGGGCCTTCAAATATCATTGTGGACCGAGACAAGACCAAGACCATAAAAAAAAACCGTTCTCGAGTTTTACAACACTAGTTCACAGCGTTTTATCTACATTATTCTCTTATCAATAATAAAGTTCATTTGAATTTATAAAAGAAAATAGAGAGACAGAGATGGACACGGAGAAAAACACATGGAGATGAATCACTATTCTTTGACCTGTGGATCTGAGCAGCTACATGAATCTATCTTTAACCCAGCAAACACCCAAATTCATGCTGTAAAGCCCTTCTCACATACAGTGCATGCCAATGACACACAAATAAACACACACACACTAGTAGTTAACGTGCAGGGAACACACACGCTTAAAGGACAAGCCTCATTAGAGTAAATGTCACAGAGGCGTTATATTACCTGTGAACATGCACACTAAACACAGAAACAGCACACTGTGCTAGTTTAAAAGATGGACACTAGCCCTGACAACAACAGCTCTGTTTTATCCACAATTTGACGATCAAATGCATGCATTTAATGGATGCAGGAAAACGCTGAAGCGCGGCTGTGCGTTCCACATCCTCCTGATAAATCAGAAGAGAGAGGACAGATACAGTCCCTCTGCTCACGTAGGGCTGCCAGAAATAACATCATGACCTTGCAATTAGTCAACTGGGGAGGATCCATCTAACATCTCTGAGCGTGAGCACGTGTGCGAATACACGGTCATGTCATGGCACAACTGCTCAGCAGCTCACCGGATCACAATCACACTCTGGGTTTAAATACACTCGATCAATAATGGATGGGCTGAGCGCTCACACGCCTTCATTCCTTTGTGCTTCTCAGTGGGATTCCTACAATTCTGCCTCTCTGAAGACGAGAAATGCTCAGAGATTGATCAATATCTCTTCTAAAATGCTGAGATTTAGACCAACAGGACCAGCATGCGTCACGGTTTTGTTTTTTCTTACTAAAGCTTAGGAGAGATCCAAACTACATGGATTTTATGAAAAATTGAAGATGGTTCCATTTCAGATTATCTCTCAAGACCAAAATGCGATGTCTGTCTGAACAGTGATTTCTTTTTCTTCCATTCTAAAACAGAACTAAACACCAATGGATCTAATTTGCAGTAGTTCTGAAATGTCTTCACTTTATTGGCATAAGACACTTTTATTGACAAGGGTACAAAACAGGGCCTGAAATTTCAGATGTATGTTTTTTTCCCATAACTATTCAATAAATACAGTGTAAAGCCTGATTTGTGTGCTTTTGTGTTTTTCTAGCATTAAACATTAAATAACCAAAAAGATATATAATAGCATGTAAAGTAGATAAAGGTATCTGAAATCAAAACAACAGACAAAATTAAAAAATAAAAACGTTGACTACATGTAATGAAAGGGTGCAACTGATGTTCACGCCTGTAAGCCTGTAAAGTTTAGGGTACTTTTTTTAATGTCTATTTTTTTTTTTTATTTAAATTTTTTTTAAATACGTCTTATGTTCACAAATGCTGTATTTATTTTACAAAAAAAAAACTGTAATACTACTACAATTTACAATAACTGTTTTTCTATTTTAATTTATTTTAAAATGAAATTTATTCCTGTGATCAAAGTAGAATTTTTAGCAGTCATTACTCTTACAGACTTATAGTCTTCAGTGTCACATGAATTCTAATATGCTGATTTGGTGCTCAAGAAAAGTATCTTATTATTTTGATTATATGACCACAACAGTTGTGCTGCTTAATATTTTTGGAAATCATGACATGTTTACTTCAGGACTATTCAATAAATAGAAAGATCACAAGAACAGTATTAATGTATTTACTATCACTTTTTATCTATTTAATGCATACCTGCTGAAAGTATTTAAAAAAATCTTTCTGATATGGTAGTGTACATTTTTAAGGAATGTTACCTCATTATGCAAAACTTTGGGGCAATTAAATATTACAATTCTTTGGTATTTAAACTGACTTAACAGTAATCTTACTAATATACATTAAATATCAATTAAACAGATACAAGTTAAAATTATACTATGATTCGAACTGTTGGATACATTAAAGAAGGTCAAGGACTCCAAATTGATGAAATGTGCCACATGCATTGTATGCATACATCCAGGGTTTCATTCATCTCATTGTCTAGCACAGTTTTAGATACTTTTACGTCTGTAGCTGACAGTGATTTGAAAACTGATTATCTCTCAACCGGTCATAATTAAAGAGGAAAAGATCAAAGTAAACCCTGCTTACGCACGCGCACACACACTCACCACAATCTGCCATCTACAGACCCACATTAATTAGTATTTCCAAGCAAAGTAAAACAGGTTGCATTTATTAAACTTGCACTTAAAAGCAGAGAGAGGGCAAAAACAAAACGTGCTATTGATCAGCCTGAACGAGAGCACCCAGTCCATCAGAGCACTTCTAAACGTCCGTTTCAGGCTTTATTATTGAAGTGTACATCTGTAGAAACCAAAAGCACTGTCAGAGGGTCACCAGAGGATCGGGGGGACTCAAGAGTGTGTATGGGGGCGCGTGTTCGTTACGTTCTTCTTTTAAATAGTTCGCTTAAAGAATGACCAGTATATTCTCACTTACAAACTGTCCTTGCACTAACAGTCCAAAAGAAAAGAAAAAAAGAGAGAAATGAACATTTGGTAAACATTCTCCACTAAAGGCAGTTCCCTTATATATACTGTGATTTTATCTTTCATTTTGTTTACATAAACAAGTTTAATAATATATCAATCAGTGGTTATTGAACAATTTGGGAAAATAAAGGAAAAAAAGCACAAAAAAATGATACTCTTTCACAAGTAAATAAAAGGATCTTTTCTTTTCTTTGTTTTCTTCAGGGCAGAGCATAGAGTTCAGCGGTTCGTCTTGTGTTGGTGGGTGTAAGCGGATTCATTTCCTTGTACTTTCTTTGCTTTGACTGTCCTCTCTTTTTATGCTATTACATAATTAGATTCTTACATACAAATATTGACAAAAAAAATGGCTTAATTACCAAAGCCATCCAGTCTTTTTTCAATATCAATGGATAGTCAAAGGCGGTGGGCGGGGCTTCAGGGGGACAGGGGATCATAGCTGGCCGTCGCTACAGTGGGCATCCGGGCTGTCCGTCTGCTTCTCTGCGTCCTGACCCGGCAGCTCTTTCACCATCAGCGAGGTGCTTTTCTCGGAAAACTCCTCCCCGTCCGGCTCCAGGCCTTCAGGACAGGGAAGCTTCAACAACTCTTCTCTGAGCTGAGCCGTGTGCCTCTGCAAAAAAACGCATGGAATCGGTTTTAAAGACACAACAAATGGCACAATTTCCATTTGTATGACAGTGAACACACAGTGTTGTACCTTTAGTGCAGCTGCGTGATGAGACATGGTTCGTCCGACTCTCTTATCGCTGCTGTACTGCTGAATATCACAGATCCAGCCCTCGCACTGGGCCATGATCTCCACTCGCTTCAGATAGAAGTGCCGATGGATCACCTGCACACACACACACACACACACACACACACACACACGCACACACGGTTAGTGCACAAAAACACACTCTCAGTGTTCTTCGAAAAGCGAATTGTGTATCAGTTCTTGTACAGCCCATAAATCAAATGTAAACCTCGTATCCAATTATAGTAGCACCAGAAAACAATCTGCTGATCTTTGGATTGAGACTCCATTGACCAGATGACCAATTGCACTGCACAGATAACCAGCAGTCATTGCCTGTCTGTACATGTTAACATGAATAAACTAAGTGGCCTTTTCAGTAACAAAGACCATAGGCAGGAAATAAAAGAACTCAAAGCTCACACAGACACACACTTCCTAGTAGTACTCCGACTCTGTCCGAAGGCAAGAGCTGATTCACTTGTTCATTCTTCATTTGGATTAGTCTCCTAGATATTCTTCCTCTCCATCTCAATGTGTTTTCTAAACATGTCATACAGTGTACTAAACGGCAGATGTGAGGAGTGTTAACAGCCGCCGTGCCACCCTGATTTAACACCATCCAAAATCACTTCCCCCAGACCTCAGGAGTGGTTCTTAGGTGTGCTTAAAACAGTAAAAAAACACTTGAAATGGACAATAACTGCAAAAATACCATGGTCAATAAATGGTCAAATGTAGGATAGTTTGACTATATGTTGACTGGCAACGCTTCTGAACTACTGTAGGTCATCATATGGCTTTCCATTAAAGCAAGATTTTTGTCAAATTTGAAGTTCAAAATTGCAAGAATAAAGTAATAGCATTATGAGATTAAAATCAATGTATGAGAAAAAAGTCGTAATGTTATGAGAATAAAGTAGTAATGTTACAAGAATTCATGTTTTGCACAAAAGGATGTTTTGATAAAGTAATGTTTTGATAGAAAATGTTTATTAAGAGAGAAGTAGGTTATATTTTGAGAATAAATTCGTAATGTTTTGAGAATGAAGTTGTAATGTTACAATAAATTTGCAATGTTCACTGAACAAAGTCATAGTGTTAGGGGAATAAATTCAGAATGCTTTGAGAATAAAGATGTCATTTTTACAAAAACTGATGTTTTGTTTGTTTATTCTCAAAACATTAGGACATTGAAATCTTCTAAATAATTTGAAATCTAATTAAATTTGTAAAAAAAAAAAAAATCCTCGAGGCTCTAGTGGGAAAATGCTCTTACAAACAGCTTCTGGAAATTGACCTGCTGTGTCTTCACTAACACACAGCTGTGTGTTTCCTCACACACACACACACACACACACACACACACACACACACACACACAATCTCTCTCAGGATTAAGACATGCACTTTAGCCTGCTTGCAAAAGCGAGATGTTGCATGGCTCAAACTTCTGGGGGGAAAAGACCGAGCGCAGATGAGAAGGATTCAGGAATGAGTGCTTGTGATCGATGGTCTTGCCAGTGTTGCCATGGAAACCCCGGTGGCCACTACACATCACTCTCTGGCTCAGAGCTCAACCTCACCGGCCTTATATCTCTCTCTTTTGCTGTCTCGCTTCATCCATCCTTCATAAATCTATCTTTCTCTCAAACACACAAAGCCTCTCCCATAATGCCGCATTTGTTTCATATTCATTCAGTTCCCAAAGGAACATCTGTAATCATACTGGGAAGCGAGAGAGAGATAGAGAGAAATGAAAAAGGGTTAGGAACAGAAACTCCATTTAAAAGAAAATGAACATGAGCATAGCTACCAAGTAAGGTTGTCGTGCAGGAGCAAGTGTGTGTGTTTGTGTGTGTTTCCTCCCTCTTTTGACGTCAACAGCCCACCATTTATGAGAGAGAGAGAGAGAGAGAGAGAGAGAGAGAGAGATAGCTAGGTGTCCTGCTGATTATTAAATCGCATATGTGAATCTGTGTGGATGTACTACACTCAAAAATGCAGTTTCAAATAAATCTAATGGTAGATGACGCAAGAAAAATCATTCGACAAAAAAATATTACTTAAAAAATATTTGATATATACACACACACACCTATACACACAAATTACCAAAATTAATAAAAAAAGAATATACTTAATTAAGAAAAAATAATTTAAGTTAAATAAAAAATTACTTATTAAATTAATTTTGTGCTACAAATTTGTGCCTGCCTGCAACATGCTAATGGCAAACTCTAAACTATCAGAATCAACTGTGAGTGGAGTTACTTCTCTGTAAGGATGCTGACTATGTAAGGAGTAGGCAGCTGACTAGTTTTAGCACAGACCACCCCAAGCTGTTCAGTTGCGTCTGACAAAACCAACTTCCACCTTCTTGTAGATGACGTCACAGGTCTCTCCTACAGCAGCTGAAAGCATATGTTTGAGGGGACGAGAGAGAGTCTACACACAGCGTCTACACATTTTATACATCCTTGACTCCTTGCATGCTCATTTGGACTAGTTTCATTATATATTCACCAACTAGAATTCTGCATAATTATGCAGATTCTGTCTGCATCAATACATAATTCATTAGTGAGTATGCCTAGTATTAGTACAAGCCGGTCGGTGTGTGGCCTGGCTTGGTTCTGCCCAAACGACAGTCCCACAGCCCTTTATCCCTCTGAACAATGCTCTGGTTGACATGGCAACAGCCTGTTTAGTGTCCACTGTGGGATACAGAGGTAATGTACCAGCCCCATAACTTCCTGAGGTGGCGAGGCAGCCGCTAGGCATGACATCAAACTCACAAATACCAGCTGAAATGCCCATACTAGATTTAAGATGACATGGACCGACAATGCCAGTGTGACTTGTGACGCCAGGTGGTCCTTTCTGGTTTCTTCTAAATGAAAAGCTCCTGATATTTGACAGTCTGAGGGAGTCTTCAGAGATTATACGAGGTGAACACTCACAAATACACATGCATGACCCAGATACCTAGAGTTAATGCATGCTTTTGATCTGATCATGGAATTGTGAGTAAGTTTGTTAATTAGATGAGTGCACATATTTGGATCATTTCAGCACATTCATGATTCATATGCCTCATTCAATGACTCACTATCTTCACTCATTTATATTCCGATTCAGGCCGCCCATCCTCCTCTCCCCCTCTCTCTTTTCACAGTGTATGGATGATTGTTATCTGCTAGTGGGGGCCATATCAAGGATAAAAGGAAATCAAAAACAGAGGGGAGAAGATGAGGTGTGGAGAGAAACATTATCTATCTGAAAGTGATAAAAAAAAAATGTGCACGTAAAATAGGACAACTTAGAATGTACTGCTAACAGAGGACAAAAATCACCACAGAAGGGTTGCGGATCTGTTCTAGCATGGCCCACTTGACAGTGGCCTGTCGAATGTTTCCGTCGTACTCTCTGGAGCTCTGCGTTCCACTCGGCGTGCCCCGGGAACGCTCGTAACCTGGTTCGTTGAAGTATGGCTCAGCCACCAGAATCAGAGACTGGATTGACACCAGCACCTAAAACACACACACACAAACACACAAACACGTTTTAGAAAGCCTAGGAGGAATGACACATGGGTCAAGTGGAAGAGGTGAAGAGCACACCGGCTCTCACTGACCACAGCACTACTGTGTCCCTGTGCCTGATTTCCATTTATTGATCAGCTGGACGCTAACTGTAGCACTAATCAATGGAGACATTTCTATGAACTGCTGGCAGCAGTACATGAGCACAAGTGTGAGAGAGAGGAGCAGAGCCTGATCAGATCAATATTACAGGAGGAAACTGCTCCCCTGCCTATTATTCAGAGAAGTATGATGGAGAGAGGGAGGGAAAGGGGTTGAGATGTGGGAAGATAATTACTGTAGGGAAACCAGGATGAGAATGTTGTAAAATCAACGGTCGATGTGCAGGTGACGGTGATATGACTAAATATTCTCTAAAAGTGATGAAATGAGAGGTGGTCTTTTCCGGCAGTTCACTGCTTCAGATATACTGGAAAGAACCATCTGCATTTGTGCAATCGGTATCAGAAGCAAAATCCTTCCCTCCTACTGGGTATTGGCTCACCTGTAGAAAGCTAGAGGTCTGAGGGTTCCATTTCTCCTCGGGACGCCCGTGCCAGGTGTTCAGGATACTTAAACACACCTGGTTGTTACAGAATGAATGAGAGACAGTACCAAGAGATCAGGATTAAGTGAAACAAAACAAAAAAAAACATAATTAAACTAAACAACATTAAGTCACATAAACATATAAATAAAATATTTTTTTATCCATTGGCCAATATTTGACCATTTCTGAGAACAGAAACAAAATAATATAAAATAATAAAATAAAATAATACATACATAAAAATATAAAAAATAAAATAAAAAAAAAACATTCATTTTTATATTTTATATACTAATTATCAGTATTTGCATCAGGCACTGTAAAACCAATATTGGTCTAAAAATGTCCTGAAAAAAAAAAAACGTGACACTCACCTTGCCATCGTTGTAGAGGTTTGGATTAAAACGGACGCTGTGGCCGCCGGTGGTCTCCAGATTAACCAGAGGAGGGGAGTTTGGGTAATCTTGAGGAAAATAGACGTCAAATTCGAAACAGCCATTGGCATATGGTGTGTCTGCAGGCCCTGTTATCAACACCTGAGACAAAAACCAAGAAAACAGCCATTAAAAGACAGCGACCCTACATTCATTCAAAGACGACAAACATTAAAATCAAAAACATTGTGTTGAACAGCACTGGAATGATTGGCATGTTTAAACCAGGTCTATAGGGGAAGTTGCACTGACACACGCAAAGTGATGTATCCCGCTTCCCACAGAAGGAGTGAGAGAGAGGACGATCGGAGGACTGTCATGCCATCCAGTGAATCTTTCTCCACTGCAGGCAGTAGAGCTGCATTTAGGCATTAAGACTGTTTTGACAAGACCATTCAAATGCAATACAAAACACACACACAAAGCTGTGCTCACACACTCGGTGTAGGTTAAATCCGGAAAGTTCAGTTTACTATTAAAGGGGTCATATGATGCGATTTCAAGTTTTCCTTTCTCTTTGGAGTGTTACAAGCTCTAGAAGATCTGTAAAGTTGCAAAACACATTTCATTACACCAAATACACAAAATAATGTTATTTTTAGCAGCATCATATGACCCCTTTAATGTCCATTAAGATTGTATGAAGCGTGGAAGAAGATAAAAAGGCCTGTTAAGGGTCAGTGTAAGCAGACAGATCAGCGAGTGACCAGTCTGTCTGGGGCTTCGCCTGTGGTCTGGCCTGCCCGGGACATAAAGCTCAAGCCAGACACACTGACATTTAGACACTCAGAGAGGAGCCCGGGTCAAAAGCACATCTCAAATGTCATTAGGAAGAGTTTGTGCACTCATGTGTGTGTTAGAGACCACAGGACAGCAAGACAAGCAAGTGACTCCTGGGATTCTCTGCAGTTGTTTTGTCATGCAGCAGAGATCGAAAGATTCATGTTGACCCACAGTAAACAGCAAGGCGGGACAGTCATGGGTTGTTCTCATATTCAGCACTGATTCTTATTGACTGATTCATTTAATTAGTCAATTCACATGATTTGATTCTTTAATTTGTTATAAATTATAAAAAAGTAATAAATAAATAACTTGTTTGAATTGCCACTCAAGTACAAAAATATTTTATATATATATATATATATATATATATATATAGTGCC